CAGGGAGCCAGAGCCTGGAGACCCCAGGCAGCTCCCCGGGCAGGAGGGGAGGGGACAGGACACACCGTTCCTGCGCCCCACAGGGACGCTGCCCTTCTGCGACCGCCTCGCACCGGCAGCCCCCGGCGCCTGCCAGCCCGTGACAGCCGGCCAGGGACCCCGCCCTGGAGCTGTGCACGCGACTCGCCTTCCCCAGCAAAGGGCTTGGCACCCATCCACAGGGAACTGCACCTCGGTTGTTCTGAATTCTGGTTCTGCCTCCGGCTGCTTGCAGCCCCCTGCCCCCAGCTGCACGTCCTAAGCACGCTCTCCGCTTCCGACCCAGGGCAGCGCTGAAAACATGGACCCAGACCTGACCCCACAGGAGCCCACGACAGGGCCCCCCCAGCACAAAGTGATCCATGGATCACGGCTTTCACCTCGCTGGGCACCCTGCGTCCACTGCACCCCCCCGGCTCCGCTCCCTCGCGCGAGAGAGCCCCGTCCAAAGCCTTAACATCCAGCTCTGCACGTCTGCTGCTCGCCCCGGACGTGTCAGAGGCGATCTGGCTGGTTTGGCCTGACTCTACTTTATACCCCTTTTGTCCTCAAAGTGCTTATCCGCTCATTGGTGAATCGTTCGTTCTAGACCTTTCCAGGGGTTGACGGCCCACAATCCCCAGCGCCTTTAGTTCCCCGTTTCAAAATAGGGGCTGGGTTTGCCCTTCCCCTCCCCCTGGGACCTCGCCTGTCCGTCCTCCAGGGGTTCCCCAGCTGCGAACGGTCCTGAGATTGCTGAACTTGCTCCTTAAGTCCCCTGGCATGAAATTCATCAGGCCCTGCTGAGTGGAACACCTCTCATTGATGTAAATATCGATTAGCCCGATCGTGCCCGGTTCTTGGCTCGTGTTTCTCCCCCCTTGTTGTTGTGCTGAGCATCTGGTCACCATCAAAACTTTTAGAGCAGACAGGCACCAGGGATTCGCTCCCCTTCCCTGCCAAGCAGAGGGCCGACACTTTCCTTCATGTTTCTCTTGCTCCTAGTGGGTGTAAAGAACCCTTTCCCACAGACGAGGGTGCCCTTGCTAGACAGAACTCCTCACACGCTCTCATCACTCTGGTTTGTCCCTTCACGCTCGGGCTGTTCTTTGTCCCCTTCCTTAGCGATTCCTCCATGTTCCCAGCCCCCGTAGGGCTCCCTTGGGATTTTCAGGTCACTGAGGTGCGCCTCCTGGAGCCCTGTTGGTCTCTCACCGTCCTTTCTAGCTTTTCTTCACATCAGGGTCCTTTACCATCGGGCTGGCAATTTTGTCTCCCCGAGAAACTGCTGACTCCCCTGAGCAATTTCTTCCCTTAATGTTTCATCCTGTGGGATCTTCCCTATTAGTTCTCTGAGTCGGCTTCTCCGAAATCCACCGTCCGTACTGTGCTGCGCTCACCCCTTCCTTTCCTTGAATCAGGAAATCGTCAGGATGGCTTGCACCCTGTGACGTAGTGGGAGGTACCTTGCTGGATGCTATGCTGGGCAGTGGCTTGTGAGTGACCCTCACTGGCTGCAGCACGGCCCAGCAGGGCAGGGGGTGAGTCATTATGCAAAGAGGGTCTCTCAACCTGTCCGACCAGCTACCCCCCAGGGAGGGAAACAAAGGAAGGTGGATGCCGCCCCTGGCTGGGGGCAGGGCTGGAAGAGAGGTTTAGTTTCTGTCTGGGAGCATGGAGGAGACAGCCTAGGGAAAGGGGCTGGGATTTAGGGGCCCAGGCTCCCCCATCTCAAGGGGGGCTGAGGCATCCCAGGACTGCCCTGGCCCAGGATCACATCTGTGCTGTGCTGTGCTGTATCCTGGAGGAGCAATAAACTCCCTCTGTTCTACTGGCTGGTGGAGTCTGTTCGTGCCATTACGGGGGTGCAGGAGACGGGGGACCCCAACGCGCCGTCACACACCCACATTCCCTTCCTCCTTCAGATTTGCTACCAACTTCTCCCTGCTGGCCAGATTCACGTATAAAATGGCTGGTCCCTTGACGCACCAAGCCTTATCCAAGCCCTTCCAGGCACTTTTGGGAAAGGTTGGGTTTTATCGGCCAACAGGCGTCAGGGTAATCCGAGTCCCCCCGGCTACCTGGTCTGGCGTGTAGGGTATTTCAGTCCTTTGTTCCAGAAACGCCTCATCCACCGCCCGCTCCAGGGTGCAGAACAGACTCCCCCCTACCATGACTTCACCCCTATTTCTACCCCTTTATCTCTACCCTGAGACTTTCAGCTGGTTTGCCCCTCTCCCTTCTGGTCCCCAGGCCAAGTGTCGATCGCTTGGCTGTCGACTGCAGCACCTCCTCCCTGCCTCCGCCTTTTCCTGAACAAATTTCCCCTCGTACCAGTCACGAGACTTCCCGCCGAGCTCTGTGATGCCAACGGAGTCACGGCTTAGTCAGCCCATGAATGTTTCCAGGCCTCCCCGTCTCTTCCCAGAGCCTGGCACTTGAGCAGACAGCCACGAGCGGAGCAGTCGCCGGACCCATTTCCCCCTTGCGGCGCCCGGGGCCCTTTGGGAATTTTGCAGCCTGTTCCATCTCCTGGGCACGGGCCGGCAGGATGGAGCCTGGCTTCATCTCTCATCCCAAGGACGGAGTCTGGGCTGCGGCAGGGCCTCAGGCGCCACCGAGCCCAGCCCCCTGCCCAGAGCAGGACCGGCCCCGACTCCACCATCCCAGTCAGGGCTGTGTCCAGCGGGGACTCAAACACCTCGAGGGACGGAGATTCCACCCTCCCTCGGGAACCCTCCCAGCGCTTCCCCACCCGCCTAGGGAATCGTTTGTCCTGATGTCCGGCCTAGCCCTCCCCACTCAGGATTGGTCCACGGACGGGCTCGCTCTGCCGCCGCCGCTCCCGGGCTGAAGAACGCCAGCCAGAGGGCGGCTCACAGCCACTTACCGCCATGCTCGGGCTATTTCCAGGTGACGGCCCGCCCAGGCCAGGTAGCCGCAGCGCAGCCACGCTCCCCGCCGGGCGACCGTGCTTCCTCCCCGAACCACGTTTGCCCAGATGAGCTTCCCCTGGGTGTGTGGGGCCAAGTTCCACCCCCTGAGCGCTGCACGAGGCGGCACCATGTGGAGCAGCGTTTTCAGCAATCTGCTACAGGGCGTGTACACGGGTAGGTGTGAGTGTGCATTCACCTGGCTACAGGGCGTGTACATGGGTAGGTGTGAGTGTGCACGTTCACCGGGCTCCAGGGAATGTGCATATACACAGGTAGGCATGAGTGTGCAGTCACCTGGCTACAGGGTGTGTACACGGGTAGGTGTGAGTGTGCACGTTCACCTGGCTACAGGACGTGTACACAGGTAGGCGTGAGTGTGCATGTTCACCAGGCTACAGGGCATGTACATGGGCAGGCGTGAGTGTGCACGTGCACCAGGCTACAGGGCGTGTACACAGGTAGGCGTGAGTGTACATGTTCACCAGGCTACAGGGTGTGTACATGGGCAGGCGTGAGTGTGCACGTGCACGTAGCTGCAGGGCGTGTGTGTGTACACGGGTAGGCATGAGTGTGAACTGTGTGGCCAAGTGGGTACACAGGCATGTGCATGCACGAGTGGGCTCCAGAGACAGGGCACATGTGCTAGTGCACACCCCGGGGTTATAGCTAAGATCCGGCGTGGTGTGGCCTCCAGGGGCCTGACACACTGGGCCTCCCTCCGCCGGGGACCCACGGCCGTGCGGCACTGCCCACGGGGGTCGCAGGGCCCTGCGGGAGCCGCCCCTGCTTACCAATGAAGGGGAAGGAGGCCGTGAAGATGAGGTACATGCCGTCGCTGTACATGGTGAAGATGATGGCGAAGTACACGGAGAGGCTGCCCCAGATGAAGAACTGGTTCACAGCCGTCCAGTAGGCAGTGTCCAGCCCGATCTGAAAGGAGAAACCCGCAGCGCAGCGTGTTAACGGCTGTAGCGAGTGCTGAGTACAGGCGGGCGGAGGGCTGTTCCCCGGCTGTCCCCTGCCCGCCAGCTGCCTCGCTTACCTGCACACGACAGGCTGCGTGGCCCAGCCGGCACACGTCACAAAGTGTTTGCTCCCCGTGGCAAGTCGGGGGGGGAGGAGCCATTAAGGCCCCGATTTGCATAAAGTGGACAGCTACACGTCAGGGACACGAGAGCGACTCTGCCATCTTTCTCCAGCCATTGCACCCACCCTATCAGCCCGGGAGCCAGCCAGGCAGGGGCTGATCTGGGCACTGTGCCAGCCTTGTCCGAGGAGACCACGGTCACAGACCCATCGGCTCGTGGGGCTGGAGGGGACCTAGTCCGGACCCCTGCACTCATGGCAGGGCGCCGTGTTACCTAACCGGTGTTTCTCAACCTCTCTTTTTTTTTAAAAAGTAACCCTTTAAAACCAGTCGTAAGTACCTCCAGTACACACACTTTTTTCTACTGTTGCAACACGTGTGTTTAATCAACTCAATGGTAGCCGGGCGGGCGAGGACATTTTTGGGTGGAAAAAGTACAAAAATAATAAAACGCAAAAACTTGAAACCAAAATTCCGTTTTCTCCCAATGTCAGTTGTGTCGACGTACCCCCAGGCTTCCCTCGAGTACCCCCAAGGCCCCGCACAGGTGTCTATCTCGCTCCAGGGACGGACAGCTCACAGCCAACCGCCTGCTTTCCCCACCCTGGCACCCAGGCTGAGACACCTCCCTGGGCATCCAGGCTAAGCTTTTCCTATTGTCCAACCTGCCCCCCCGCCACACAGCAATTTAAGCCCCTTGTTTCCTGACCTGTCCTCAGTGACCAAGGAGAACTAAGTCTCCCCCCCCATAACAAGATTTCACATACTTGGTCTGCTCTCCCGTCCCCCCTCGCTCTACTCTAGACTGAACAACGGCCATCTCTTCCCCAGCGGTCCTGTGTGCTAACCCGGCCCCCTTTCGTTACCCTCCTCGGGACCTTCTCCTGTTTCTCCACGTCCTGCCCCAAGCGCGAGGCCCAGACCTGAACGCAAAGTGGAGCGGAAGAATCACTTCTCCCGGCTTGTTTACAGCACTCCTGCTGAGACACCGCGGGACGGTTGCTTCTGGGTCAGAGCGTCGCACCGTTCGCTCGCACGGGGCCTTCGCAGCGCTCCTCCCTAGCCCGGCACCTCCCGGGGCTGTGGGCAGGTGGGTATTCCTGGGCACTGGTTCCTATTGGAGCACATCCTGGGGACCTCAGGCCGTTCCTCCGGTGTGTCACAGCCCTTTGCATTCTCCTCCCGCCCTGCAAAGCACCTGCCACCCCTCCCAGCTGGCGCCGTCCCCAGACTTTCAAGGGAAACGTGGGTGCCATTGCCCAACGCAGGTACGGAGCCAGGAACAGACCAGACCCCTGCAGACCCGCCCCCCGCTGTTTGACTGATCGATTGGCGTGGGGGGGCTGTCTGCTCTGTGACCCGGGTCCCCTGCGCGGCGAGGGGCCATTCCCACTGACTCCCCCACACGGTGTGATGCGGTGTCAGCACCTGGCTGGTCGCTTGGGCTGTGACTGACCCCTACTGGCCTCTGCCTGTGAGCACGGCCCAGCGGGGGGCTGCCTAAGTCCCATAGACAAAGACCCGACCGGTCAGAGGAGTGGGGGCAGCGAGGGACCTTGGGGAGTGAGTGTTCGGGGGAGGGGCAGTCTGGGGCTGGAATCACGGAGGAACCAGGCTAGGGAGGGGCTGGAATCGAGGGGCCCAGGGACCCATCTCAAGGGGGCTGAGGCGTCCTGGCATCCTGACACGTCTTGTCTGTGCTGGGCTGTGTCCTGGAGAAGCAATAACCCCCCTGTTCTACTGGCTGGGGGAGTCTGTTCTCGCTGCTACTGGGGTGCAGGAGGCGGGGGACCCCGACGCTCCGTCCCACTGGTGTCAGAAGTGGGATGCACTGCACCCCATGGACGGCGCGTCCAGCAGCGAGTGCCAAGGCGCAGCAGAAGCAAGGACCTGAGAGCCAGGCGTGCTGGAGACAGAGCGAAGCGGTTCCTGGGGATCGTGGCTGCTGAAGCACTGGATTGGTGAGTCTGCACCGAGGGGACCGGCGGGGAGATGCCTACGCCCGACTCCTGAGGGAGACCTGGCGGGGCTGTGCAGAGACAGGGCCCTGCCCATGGGGAACGCAACCAAGGCCCAGCGGATTGCCCGGCTGGAAGAGAGCGACCCGTCCAGGGGCCTGGATCCCCAGTGAGCCACAGTAACTCCTCTCTGAACTCGCTTTTCCAACCAGTTGGAATCCCAACTGCTCAAGTTCAACCAAGCAGGCTTGTCTAGGCCACGTTTCCCTCCTCGGCTCAGGAGAAGGCCACACCAGCCGGTGTGAAACGCCTGACAGACGTTGGGATACATCCTGTCTACTGCCTTCCCCTTCACTCACCTCGTTTCTGCGTCCCCAGGGGCAGGTCGCGTTCGCCCACCCACAGCAGACCCACTGCCCATGCAAACTGACAGGAGATACACAGCTCTGTGCCTCGGTTTCCCCAGTGACACGGGGTGAGAGCCTGCCTCCTCCCGCCCCATCTGCTTTGTCCACCTGCACCGAGAGCTCCCTGCTCAGGAGGCCCCCTCCTCATGGCCCCACGATGGGAGACTCCTCCCAAGAGGCCCTGTGACAAACCAGGCAACTCACGTGTGTCCAGTTTAATCCTCGCAGGATTGGAACCGAGCGCCCGCACGGACCCACCCCCCCCAGGCGAGGCAGCCAGGCCCCGCATGGATCCTC